AGGACTCTTATTCTTGATCATCCACGTTTAGAACCTGCCCCCTTTCCCTGGGTTTGAAAAATCTTACCTGCAGCCTGCCTCGGTGAGAGAATGGTACCCGGGCTGGCAGTGGTCACACTTGTCACCCATCACACCCGGCTTACAGCTACACCTGCCGTAACTGTCACACTGTGTGCTGAGAGAACCTAAAATTTAAAGAGCTTGTCAACGACCAGAAATGCAAGTAAATGTGTCAACGAAAAAAAAATGGGTAACAAAAAACAATGCCTGAAACCCAAGATGTCATCTCTAGACAGTTACTGAGAGAAGAAAGATTAAATTGTAAACCCTAATGGTCTCAGAATCATATCCTTTCGAGCCATACCATTTTAACCTCACAGACACACACCCGGCTCATCCATGTTGAGAAACAAGTGTGTCTGCACCCAGGGATAAACCGCTTCCCAAACCAGTTGCTTCTCTGTGGACAAGCACAGGCTCCTTAAGGCCCACGTCTAGAATTTATGTATCTACAGGCACAACAACATAAAGGTCAGACTCTGGAAAGAGAGGAGCAGACTCAGAGCATTCTACGTCTCTGAACACGCACAACATGCCGGGGAAAATCCAGCCCTTTAAGGATCCTGAACGAAACAGAATCATTAACGAGCAAGAACTCACGAAGCAGCTAACCTTTTCCAGTCAAAGTTCAAATGGTCGTTAGGATCGGGTTACTAATTATTTACACAAAACCATGACTCAGGCCAAGCCCACACTTATTTATATACACCAGAAAATCACTGGGAGGTTGAACTTGGTTAAACACAGTGGAGGTGGGGAGGGTCAGGCACATCCTGTGTCATTTGCCTGGGACAACAGTGCACACACTTCCACTCTTCCCCCGTGCAGGTGCCTAGGAAGCAGAGCTTTGTTTTCTGGGGGGATGCAGGGTTTTGTCTTTCAATCCGTCAGGCTGATGCTGGCTTTGCCTGTCACTTACCCACGGGACTACAGTGACAGGGAGAGCAGGCTTCGCTGTTCCCGAGGCGGAAGAAATTCTCCCGGCACCTCTCGCAGTTGGCGCCATCTGTGTTCCCTTGGCAGTTGGTACAGTGGCCCCCGTGGCCGGTGGACCGGTATAGTTCAGGGTCAAAGTAGCACTCCTGTGAGCGGCCATTACAGTCACAGGCTGTTGGCCAAAAAACGCACGAGTGATGTCAGATCCGCATTCCTTGGCTGAACAGCATTTCAAAAGACTCTAAGCAAACCAAACCACCATCTCCCACGTCTCTGGGGCACAATGGGGGGCAGAATAAGAACGCCCACTTGAGGCGTTGTTCATTTGAAAACAAAAACAGGAGGTCAATGAAGGGTTTAGATAGTCAGGCTATCGGTTTACACAGAGATGGTCTTATCACAATTCACACCATCGTAAAATACGAGGAATTCCTGTACTTAGGAATCTCCAGGCAATTGTTTATATACAAGTGAAAGGCAAGTCAAATTGCAATTTTTCCGAATCTTCATCCTTCGTTCCAATACCAACTCCAACAACAGGGAACCAGTTTATATTCAGGCTTTAATTTACCTTAACTCTTCGAGCCCCAATTGAAATAAGTTAAGATACTAACTTTCTAAGTGCCAGATTGCTTGCAAGGCCAGACTGGCGTAACCTGATACATATGGGTTGAAATGAGCGCCTCTGTGGAAGGAAGCAGCACTGAAGGGAAATCTAGCTTCACTAGACACGTCTATCTCCTGGGGAGCCACAAAGCCAACAGGGTCCTCCATTAAGTAACTATGTTCCCTGCGGAACACAACTATATTTTAAGAACAAGTATATGTCGTCACAGAACTTCTTTTCTGTGTTTATAGTAAGTTTATTTTCTTAGAATTACTGATGTCACACAAAATACCGGCAGTATCTTGAGCACTAAATACCGTTTTATTTGATTTCAGATAAACCAAGTTGTTTTAAAGAAATGTTTGGGGGCGCCTGGATGGCTCAGTGGGTTAAAGCCTCTGCCTTCAGCTCAGGTCATGATCCCAGGGTCTGGGGATCGAGCCCCGCATCAGGCTCTCTGCTCAGCGGGGAGCCTGCTTCCTCCTCTCTCTCTGCCTGCCTCTCTGCCTACCTTTGATCTCTGTCTGTCAAATAAATAAATAAAATCTTTAAAAAAAAAAAAAAAAAAAAGAAATGTTTGAATAGGGCGCCTCGGTGGCTCAGTGGGTTAAGCCTCTGCCTTCGGCTTAGGTCGTGATCCTAGGGTCCTGGGATTGAGGCCTGCCTCAGGCTCTCTGCTCAGGGAGCCTGCTTCCCGGTCTCTGCCTGCCTCTCTGCCTACTTGTGATCTGTCAAATAAATAAATAAATAAATAAATCTTAAAAAAAAGAAACGTCTGAATATATATTTTTTCTTTCTCGTCACCTCCCCTTCTTTATGATCAGTTCTTTCGCAGTATTATACTTGAAAACATTTTAGAAACTTGAGTCACTGGCACCAAAAACTAGAGTTGTGTTAAGTAACTTGGAGAGCTCCCTTTCTACTTCTCGTCTCTCAAGTCTCCCTAGATTATCCCACACATCCCACCCCCGGCCAAACCCAGCCCACCCCCACCTAAACACTTTGGTGCCCTGGACCATGTAGCAGAACAGTCCCCTTGTCTACACTGTCTTAACCCACAGGTAAAGCAGGCGCTGTGTCTCCTTCACCAGCAGCTGGTAAGAGAGAAGGCTGTAATCTTCTCTTCTCCAATCCCAGCATCCTGACAATACTGAAGTACTGTCCCAACCGCCAGAAACTTAGTGCTGAAGGGACCCAAGGAGGAAGGCAGATTGATTCAGTTCCTTATCAAAGTCCTTTAGAAACAGTATTAGGTTCACTTGCCAGTCTGGAACATTTTCATAATGTTCCTGGAGAGACTCAAGATATGACCCCCATCAGGATGCCTCGGTGGCTCAGCCGGTTAAGCCTCTGCCTTCGGCTCAGGTCATGATCTCAGAGTTCTGGGATCGACCTCCACATTGGGCTCTCTGCTCAGCGGGGAGCCTGCTCCCCCCCGACCCCCGCCTCTCTACCTGTGGTCTCTCTGTCAAATAAATAAATAAAATCTTAAAATTAAAAAAAAAAAAGATATGACACCCATCACTAAGCAAAGTACTTTTCAAACACATGTGTACGTTTATTGAAATGTCATGTCTTGGGGCATTTCACTGTTTCCGTTAAGACCTTTATCGTTTAGCTTCTCACACTAGCTGTTACAGTTCAGTCAAGGACTGAAGCTCAAGCAAGCACCTAGGAATCCTAGAGGGGGCTGTATGATTTATCTTCAAATCTGGGATTTGCTGAGGAAAAGGAAAGATAAGAAAACCTGCTCTAAGGCAACTAAGAGAAATAGTCCTGAGTCAAGATACTGGTCACATCTCAAGGTTTCTGCCAATAATTCCAGTGAGCTCAGAGTGTCTCTCTTATTCCTTTATCAAGAGTATACGATAAGGGCGCCTGGGTGGCTCAGTTGGTTAAGCAACTGACTTCAGCTCAGGTCATGATCCTGGAGTCCCAGGATTGAGTCCCGCATCAGGATCCCTGCTCAGCAGGGTATCTGACCCTCTCTCCTCTCATGCTCTCCCTCTCTCTCATTCTGTCAAATAAATAAATTTAAAAACCTTAAAAAAAAAAAAGAGTATATGATAAGAAATGTTTATAAGGTCATAAAAAATTATAGCTGCTTAAAAAGTTTCTAAGTCCTTGACAAAGCATGATTACATAGCTTCATGGTTCCTTCCTCCTGAGGTTTCTTTCTCATCTGTCCAGAATAAACCAAGCCATTACTAAGGGATAAGACAAGCTGCAGCCTTTTCCCTTTTACCCTTCTCTAGAAATACTAAGATCTACTTTCCTTCCCAAAGCCACCCACCTCTACACGGAAGGAACAGGAAAATTCTCCCTGCTGTGCTCTTTAGTGAAATAAAGGAAGAATAATTTTGAGAAATAATTTTTTGAATGGCAGCCTTAGTCCAGAACTCAATGTACTGAACACATGTTCATCAACGACCCTGACTGCTGGTAGGAAAATATTTTAACGTGCAGCTAAGGCAAGACTAGATAAACCATATCTTATAGTAGGCTACACTGGCCTAGCACTTGGATCCAAGTGAAGTTCCAAACCTTGGAGATGCTGCTCCCACTCTGATACTGAAATTGAACAAAACCAAACATGCTTTGTATTCGTAGCCAACTGCCTTCATCTCTGATTTTCCTCTGATGTGCGTACAAGTTACCATTCTACGCTTTCCAATTACAGAAGCAGCACTGCCTTTCAGAGTTCTCCTTTCAAGGAGGAACAGAAGGAAGTCACCCATTCCTTCTCCCCACTCTGGAAGTCCTCAAGATAATTTAATGACTGAGGCCAAGGGGCACTCACGCAGGCACTCGCTGGCACTCTCCGCGGTTGCCCTCCTCCACGGCCGGTTGTTGAAGAAAGGCAGACACTTTTCACAGTCTACCCCGTAAGTATTATGTTTGCAATTACACACCAGCTTGTCAAATTCATTCTTCACACACTCACTTGCGTGGCCATTGCATTTACACCTGGGAAGAGAACAGACAAAAATACGAAATGGCCACCAAGTCCCAGCAATGGATGCAGAAAAAGGAGGTACAAAGAGAACTAAACACAACCCCAGAACAGTTTTTTATTTTTTACTTACTTATTTTTTAGTTTTACCATTCAAGACTATAAACTGAGGAACTAAGCAATATTAAGTAATGACTAAGTTTTCAGGTAGGAAGAAAAATTAAAAAAGGAAAAAAACCCTCCCACCAAAACATCTTACTAGGGGATGGAGCATTAACCAGACATGGGAAGGAACGCTCTAGCAATTCTGGAGGCTTCTGCAATTTCTAGGATCACTTCCTGAAGTCAACTGTGTGTATCAAGCAGCAGCCAAGCGTGGAGGTAATGCAGAGTAAGGACCCTGAAGGCTGCTTACATGGGTTTGGGACCTGGCTTTGTGACTTACCAATGTCACTCAACCTCTGAGCCTAACCTGTAAGACAGGGACGATGACAATGTGAATTTCACGGGGTTATCAGGAGGACCAAGAAGCTGCTCTATTCATGTGCCCAGGACTGTGCAGGCACAGTACAAGTGAAAAAGGTGGTCATGGCTGTTGTCTGTCATAATGATTTTAAAGTATCCCGATCTGAAGGAAGTAAGAGGCGTTCAGCACCTCACCACCATATGCAACTCCGGTAGCCTAATACTCCCTCAGGTTGTTTGGGGCAAGAATCCCCGAAGGAACCCTAGGAGCAGGTAGAACCATACACTAAGGACTCATGGAAATGGGCATGAACGCTAAAACGTGCTCTAGTGCCCTGATGTTCCCCTCACTGGCTTCCTTGAAGACAGAATCAGGCCCAACGTTCCCCCTGCTACTCAGTAATACCTTTCAAACCTTCCAGAAACATCTACAGTGCATCAGGATGAATCCCAAACTCCTATCCCCGGCTCTAATCTCTCTCCCCAGCTCCTATCCTTGACGGGTACACAAGTTCAGATGTCTCCTATAACCTAAAACAATACATGTCTACATCTAAACTCATCCTCTCCCTAAATTCGCTCATCTTCTTCATTTACTTCATTAGTAGTACCACCATTCTCCTGATCATTAAAGCTAAACATCATCCTTGACTGATGTCCTGATAATTCTTGCTTCACAATAAAATCCATCTGCCATGTTCCTTTCCCGTCTACTGTCACCACCCTAGTGTCAGGTATTTGTCACCTAATACCCAGATCACAGCATCACAAGGAGAAGAGAAATTCTCTTGATGGTCTCTACTTTCACCTTGCCCGTAGGTCCTCTTCCTAACCGCTGTTTAGATAGCATGGCCTACTTCAAACAAACAGTACACGGTTTCTCAGGGATTAGAGTCTCGATCATCTTTCACTCTGTCAGCTCTACAGATTCACAGAGGAGACGTTCCTTACGCTGAGTAGATCTACAACCTCCCAGCCCTACACTTCTGCTTGTGACCTGCCCACCCCGCACCCACCCCCACGCCCTCCTTCCTTATTCAGATTCTGCCCCTGCTTCAGGGCCCCGCTTCGTCCCTGTCTGCTCCCCGCCCCAGCTTGACAGTTCCATCTCATTTTCCAACATATGGCCTCGTTCTACCTAAAACACGTGTTTTAATTTTTCACAGATTCACACATTGCCTGCCCCCCTTCATTTGTAGGATCTTAGAAGGTCAAGTCCTACTCAGCGGGTGAACATCTTGTGCTGCCTCGGTGGCTTCAGAGGGCCCGTCGCAGAGCTTTGCACTGAGGTGCTCAGTAAGGATTCACCCGGTGTGCTGATTTGACAGGGTTTTAGAAAACCTAATTACTTTGTTTCCAGGATAATGAGAAGGTCTAACAACATTATTAGTGTGGTTGTAAATAAGTTGCTACATTCACTTCTAAACCAAAGCTCCAGTCACTTTCAAAGTTATTTCATGGTTTGGGGTGCCTGGGTGGCTCAGTGGGTTAAAGCCTCTGCCTTCGGCTCAGGTCATGATCCCAGGGTCATGGCATCGAGCCCTGCATCGCATCGGCTCTCTGCTCAGCTGGGGGCCTGCTTCCCTTCCTCTCTGCCTGCCTCTCTGCCTACTTGTGATCTCTGTCAAATAAATAAATAAAATCTTGAAAAAAAAAAATAAGTCATTTCACGGTTTACTTACCTACCACCCACAGCAAAATCGGAGATTGCATAGTAATAGGACTTGAGAACTTTGGGGTCATTAAACACTTCATCTCCAAAAGTATTTAGCCGATTGAGAGTTACTCTGATGTCAGTGGCAGTTACCCATTCCTGTTGGGGTGGGTGGGGGGGGAGAAAGAAAAGAAAAAAAAAAGACAGAAAAAGGTAAAGGGACTGAAGATGAGAGACATAAATGTGACAATATTTTTTTTAATTTTTCATACAGTTAATATATCATGTGACGTATCCTCTTCCAGCATTAAATCTGCTATAATGCTCAATGACTCCCTTAATTTTCTAACATTTGTCTCCTTCTTGACTCCTCTCTTCTTTAATCTAAGTTGTCGTGTCACCACTCAGAGTCCCAAAAAAGCAGGAATACTATTCATTTCTTCACAAGGCTGTTGAAAGGTTTACATGAAATATACTTCTAAATGCTTTGCATACGGGAGGGACTCAATACACATGTCCCTTCTTCTCCACCCTGTGTCCACGCCCCAAGTTCAGTCCGAGGAACCAGCACAAAGCTCATGGAACACCACGGTGTCATGAGCTGTGCTACTCATTGCCTCCTCCTGCCTATTCTGTACCATCTCTCTCTCCCTCCATCCCCAGTCCGCTATGGACAGATCTGGGAGAGGCATCCAAGTACAAAGTAATAAATTGTTACACCGGCCAGAACCAGTCAGATGCAGTTTTTGTCTTGATCTCTGCCATAATGTCACTTCTCCGGGAGGCCTTCCCTGCCACACAACCTAGAATTGCTGCCCACCCCAAGGCCCTATTTCACTTGCCTATTTCATTTATAGTCTGCTTCCACCACCACAAGCCCACCCCACCCCACCTCCGCCACCACTGCCAAGACCGTAAGCCCCACGAGGGCAGGACTTCTTTGTTTTGTTGACTGCAGCTTCCCTGGTGCTCAGCGTACAGTAGGTGCTCAAGTAACATTTGCTGAGCAAATGAACACATCTGAAGCAACCACAACTGATTCAATTGGTAGGTGTAGCATAATGAGAGGGGACAAGAAGGAAAGTTAATGTTTTCCTCTAGGTTTTATGGGATCTAAGCCCTTATAATAAATGCCCTTTCACTGAGCTAATTTTAGTCAGATATTTACATCTGTGGTGGATTGTTAGAATAATGATTCCAGTGAATCATGTCTGCCAGCGTCCACACCCTGCAGAGTCCCCTTTCCACTCTGATGCTGGGCTGGGGCATGTGATTTGCTTTTTGCCCAGGGGAAATGAACAAAAGTGACACAGGCAGAAGTCTGATAAGCACTTGTGCCCCGAGACCTACCCTCTTGGAATGCTTCTGCCATCACTCGGGGAAGCCTAGTCTAGCCTCCTCGAAGCTGTAAGACTACAGGGGGAGAGAAACCCAGCCCCCAGCTGAGCTGCCAGTGAGTGAGCCCACACCAACACAGAATCATGAGAAATAATAAATCATGGTTGCTTAAATTCATTACGTTTTGGAGGAGTATATGACACAGGACCACCCAAAGACACCACGTAAAGTCCCATCCTGGGAGTGTCTCTCAGCATCCCCCATGGGGATGCAACAGCAAGCGCAAGGGCCACAGGCTCTGTGTTTTCAGAAGTCTCCCTGCGACACAGGGAGGCACATCCCTGATTAAGCAGCACGGCTCGAACCAAGCCAATCCCCTGGCACAGAGCGCAACCTACAGGGCTCATAAAAGCTAATCCCCGTGAAGCCTCCAAGTATAATTAGAAAGGGGAAGAGATGATGACTCCACCGCATCCAAACTTGGAACTCCCATAACAACTCCCGCTCACAGCGACAATGCTAGGAATCTTTGAGTCGTCTGTAATGTAAATAGCTCCACGTATCTCTGTGTTTAATGCGTACTGTATCTCATATCTCCTTTGAGCTTCATCTTTATCACAGCTCTCCTTGAGTAAAAGCTTCTCAAGGGCTGAGTCTAAGCCATTCCTTTCATAACAGGTGTCTTAAAAAGAACAGGTTCTGGAGCCAGTCTTTCTAGGTTTTGAATCTCAGTTCTGCTGCTTAAATCTGTGTGATGTGGGTTATTGGATCTCTTCCGAGAAATGATGTCGATGCCCCATCTATAAAATGGAGATCACAGAAGTATCTACCTGTAGAGTTACTGTGAAGGTTCAATGAGTAAACAGTATATAGAGTGTGTATATACATCTACAGTAAATATAGCTAAAGGGCTCAGAACACTGCTGGCACATTATGGTACATTATAGTAAGTGCTATAATACATGCTAATTATTATTATTATAAATCAGCATATGCTCAGTAATATTCATATACAATGAAACCAGGAAGGGTCTATTCTTCCATTGGGGAGATCGCAGCTTCTGGAGGAGGCACAGGAGGCAATGAGAAGAGAGGGTCATATCAGCTCAGCTGTCAAGTCAGTTATCGTTGTGAAATCAGCTAACATCTGATCAGCGAGCACTCCTTGGCAAGTGGATATGAAAACCAGAGCTCTTATATCCAGAGCCACATAACTAATGTTTTTGCATAATGAGAGCAACTGACCAGATCTATTACAGATGCCCGTGACATTTCTACCACATTTAGTCTCACAAGTTCCTATGGTATAAAGAGTAGCAAACATCAGGGCGCCTGGCTGGCTCAGCTAATAGAGCATGTGACTCCTGATCTCAGGGCTGTGAGTTCAAGCCCCACAGTTGGGTGTAGAGATAACTTGGGAAAAAAACAAAAAACAAAACAAAACAAAACAAAACCAGTAGCAAACATCAGAACTCCTATAGCTGGAGGAACTGCTTCAGGACAGGCTGATAAGGCATCCAGTTAGCAGAGGTTCCAGAATACACCACAGTGAAGTCACGTAGGTCAATGCTTCCTCCTGCTGCCTCTATTGCTATCTCTGCTGGGTTGTCAAATAGGATCATTTGCACAGGAAGCACCTAAGCTAGCAAACTGATAAACTTTAAAAATTTGTAGATCACATCTCCCTTAGACATTCAATCTTCTGGTTTTGTTTTTTTTTTTAAGATTTATTTATTAGAGAGAGAGAGAGAGAGAGAGCATGAGCACAGGCAGGCAGAGTGGTAGGCAGAGGCAGAGGGAGAAGCAAGCTCCCCGCTGAGCAAGGAGCCCGATGTGGGACTCGATCCCAGGACGCTGGGATCATGACCTGAGCCGAAGGCAGCCGCTTAACCAACTGAGCCACCCAGGCGTCCCCAATCTTCTGTTTTTTAATCTATCAAAAAGTTATTCTTTCTACTCCTTATTCTGAACGTATCTTACTACCATCACAAGAAACACTTCACTGAAAGGCCTTTGCAAACATACTCACTGCTCACCAGAACCTCAGAGTTGACCAAGCTCAAGATTCACGATCTCCCAGCAAATTGCAGAAATACAACAGAAGGGAAGAACTGGACCCACAGAGAAACATACTCTCATCTTTTGCCATTATCCAAAACCACGTGGTCAAATCACAAAGAGTCCTTGAATATAATAAACTTCAAGAGAAAGACTGAGAAGCCACAAAAGCACGAAGGGGCTCCTGGGTGGCCCTGCTGGTTAAGTGGCTGCCTTTGGCTCAGGTTGTGATCTCGGAGTCCTGGGACTGAGTCCCGCATCGGGCTTCCCCCTGAGTGGGAACCTGCTTCCCCCCCTCCCTCTCCCTACTGCTCATGCTCTCTCTCCCTCTAATAAATAAATAAATCTTTAAAAAAAAAAAAAAAAAGGGCATAAAGCCCAGAAGAATAAAAGAACTCCCTACTTCACCCTACTTAGAAATAACAGATTTTCATAAAATGTACACAGAGTTTGCAGACCCACATCCAGTCTTTCTCATCTCAGTCATTTCATACAGCTGCCCCCACTTAGACGTCAGCTTCAGTCACACAACTCAAGCATCTCCAATTCTGTGTTGCAGAAAGATTCCAAATTATGGTGTATAAAGAACATGGACACAGAATTCATGAGAAAAAAGATAGCTTTAATTCTTTCTACGCTCAAATAGGGAAAGGTTTCTATCGTGATGCTCGAGTGCTGTACCACGGGAACCTACACGTATCTCCTGTCACAGACACCAGCACTGTCAGGTGATCAGAGGTTTTTATGATTGACAATAGTGCAGACAAACGTGGTCCACGTTCCCCTGCACAATAATGAAGGAAGATGGCATTCTTAAATGACTTGCTTCAATTGTTGCCCCTCTCGGACACTAAAAAATACTTCCTTTGGTCAAATGAAAGAGATAAGGAAGGTTGTGAAAATAATGGATAGATTCAGGGGGCGCCTGGGTGGCTCAGTCAGTTAAGTGTCTGCCTTCGGTTGTGATCTCAGGGTCCTGGGCTCAAGCTCCAGGGCGGGCTCCCTGCTCAGTGGGGAGCCTGCTTCTCTCCTCCCTCGGCCCCTGCCCCCACTCTTGCCTGCCGGCACATGCTTGCGCTCTCCCTCTCTCTCAAATAAATAAAATAAAATAAATAAATAAAATAAAATAAATAAAATCTTAAAAAATTTAAAAAAAGAAAGAAAAAGGAAAGAACAGGTAGATTCAAATACTCTCTTCAAAAGGTCAGAAGCAAAATGTTTCCACTGCCAAGTAAAGACCCAAGTTTAAATTGTTCAGTTTTTTTTTTAAACTTTTTTTTTTTTAAAGATTTCTTTACTTGAGAGACGGACAGTGAAAGAGAGCATGAGAGGGCAGAAGGTCAGAGGGAGAAGCAGACTCCCCATGGAGCTAGGACCCTGATGTGGGACTTGATCCGGACACTCCAGGATCATGACCTGAGCCGAAGGCAGTTGCTTAACCAACTGAGCCACCCAGGCGCCCCTAAATTGTTCAGTTTTTAAAAAAATTTCTACAATTTATATCCCAGAGTACACTGGCAGGTACATGAGAACACAAGAACATCACCTGGGTGGCAGGACCAAGCTGCTTTCCTTCACATACTGAGAATATTCAGGAGAGCAGAATAACGTCTGCCTGGAAGCTGCTACTCCTACCCCTTTCCCCGGAAGTGGGACCACAGGCCCCCACACAACAGTCTTCCCGCCTCCTGCATGCACAGGGGAGAACTAGCAGGCTTCTGGATCCATTACCTGCAGCACAGGGCTGTTGTCAAAGTTGTAGGCACTGGGCCTTCCTTCTAGAGTTGAAAAGGCCACATTGCCCCCAGTTAGAGGGGAAATGTCACTGAATTCATCTGTGCACAAGGCCTGCTGCTCGTCTCCGCCTGTCCTGATGAAGCCGCGGTTTGCCTTCGAGTAGGTGTTCTCGCAGGAGCCACTGTAGTACTGGTAAGGAATCCAGGGCCCATCTTCCCGCGTGCGCTTGTAAATGGCGAAGCTCTCGGGGCGGCTGGTGTGGAACTTGAGGCGCACGTATGTGATGTCAAAAGCTTTTCCTGTGGGACAGACATGAAGTTGGTAAGTCATACGTATGAAGCAAAGAAATTCCCTCTATGCCCAGTTTGCTTAGGACCCTGACAAAGGACGGATATGCCCTAGATGAAGATGGTTCCAGAACCCATAACACATTGGTTGCGTCGGACAGGTATTCTAAACCTGGAAATAGTGAGCCTTTTCCCACAGACAGGACTAGTTACAGTTTGGGTCATAAGTTGGCTTATTTAAGACACGGATTGGTGGAATCTTGTTTGCCATGAAAAATGGTAGCACTGTACTTAACATAATTAAACAAAATCAAAATTGCATTAAAAAGTACACTTATTCTTAGTGCTGGTGCTTCAGCAAAAGCAATTTAATTTAAAAACAAAGTATTTGCCGGCTTTCTAGATGGGTATTCTGGAAAATTTCAAGGTACTTAAAAACTCACTCTCTTAACTATTATGTTTCTTCCTGATGCAGGAAGACTATCACGAGCAGTATTCTTCTACTTATCTACCAAGTTAAGAGAGGAATTTCAGAAAGAAATAGAGAAAAGGAGTGATTAAGAGATGGGGCAGGGAGTAGAGCAGGAATGAAAAAAAAGGAGGGGGTGGGGTTAAAGAAGTTGTTTGCATTTGTTCAAAGAAGAATATGCAAGATCTGACCACGGAGCAGGCAAGGACAGCAAAAGGGGGAGCCACTGGGCTGCTGTCTCTGGAGGATGAACCACTCCTCAGACAGCTTGCTGGGGCAGCTAGGGCACAGTCTGATGGCTGGGGCAGCTAGGGACAGCCAGTGAGGGCACAGTCTGATGGCTGGGGCACCTAGCTAGGGCACAGTCTGATGGCTGGGACAGTTTAGCTGCCAGCCAGCATGCCTTCAGGTGGGTCAAAAAAACAGAGCGCAAATGTTTTTAATCACCTTTTACTCTCCAGTTGCGTCTTCCCATCTCTGACAATATTTATTCTCTGCAACTTCTACGCTATAGTGAAGATCACAGTTTGGTCAGCAAGTATTTGTTGAGCACAACTACATGTTCAGTCCTATGCTATCTAGTTTGGAGGACAGGATGTGTTAGACATAAGAGGTCCTTGCCCTCGAGGAGTTTACAGTCTTTCCTCCCCAAGGGAATTAATTCTGCAGGAAGCACCATACTCATCCTCCCCTACAAAGCCCACAGAAGAGGAACCCCTGAACCCTCTCAGAAGGGTTGCCAAGGGACTCCTGCTAACCTCTTACTTCCTTGTGCCCACCCATCTGCAGGGGAGAGGGAGGGAGGGTCACATGTGGCCTGGAATCTCCTCAGCTCACTCTCAAGCTGCCGGCCTGAGGGCCCCTCTCCTCTCCTGCACACCGCAATGCAAGACAGCGCGTCTGCCTCTGTGCCAGGGAGGCCTGCGGCTGTCCTACTACCAGATGTGGGACTGCATGGATGAGTCCAGCTGGGCTGCAGAGGTGGGGGAGGGGGAGAACTGAAAGCCCACATGTCACGTGTCCACGTAAGTCACGTATTCCGTTCTTTAATCCTGTAGTATCCGCAATAAAACTAAGATGATGAGCTATACCTAACTATTTCTTAAGTGGTCCAGATCTTAAAGGAGAAGTCTGATTAACTAATTCCCCCATACACCCGAAACACATTCACATACACACAATCTTGAACACGGAGGTGTGTGGCATGATGGAAAGAACGCAGGACCGGGCACTGTGAGACCCGAGCTCAAGGCCTGGCTCCTTCAGTTACTAGCTGTGTGATTTCTGCTCGGCCATTTTCTCTGCAAAAATGCGGGGGATGACCCCTGAGCCACCTACCTCAAAGAGCTGTTGGAAGGTCAAATTAAGATCTTGCATGTACCTGGTTAATTGTAAAACTCTATACACACATAAGGCATTATTCATAATAGAGTTTAGAAAAAAATTCCTGAATTAGGATCCTGGATATGTTCACATATAAGGGTCTGATTGTCCCAGGGACTGCGTACAGTTGCCAGAGAACGGCATACAGATCTGGATCTTCTATCCCAGATGCAGTACAACAGTTTGCAGAGACACAGGTTTCGCAAATCCCCTTTATACCCCACCTGTTAGAAGAATGAAAATGTAACCTCTACCTCTTTACTGTATCAAACATGTTAAAATGTTACCCTTGAATGAGGGTGTGGATTTATACGCATCTATGGCATTCCAAAGACTAGGTAAGACATGCTGGAATGGTAAAACAATCGAGTTTTATTCAGGAACAGGTGGTTTGGGATGTTCAAAGGCTTCCTCACTAATCTGGGTGTTACAGATTACTCCTGCTTTTCTACTCTGTCTCCGCATCTGACATCTCATTGTTCTTTAACAACTCAACCTGCAGGAGACTGGATCAAAGGAGAGAAGATAAAATGGAGCAGGGTGTACTGTGGTCCCCGCACCAATGTGCACCACAGAGCCACCCTCGAAAGAAGCCAGCTCATGTGGTCACTCTCTCTGGTGCCACAGACCCCAGGCAACGGGTGGCAGGACATGAGGAAGCAACTTTGCTAGCGTTCAACTTGGAAGCAAACGAGTTTTCTGGGGCTGGCCCTACCTCACTAAGCCTTGTTTTCAGAGCTGCCTTTTGCACTCCAACCCCAGCCATAGTTGGAAGAGAAAAAGGGCTCTGTGGACATGGGCAAAAGAGGCTCACACATTCCACAGGACAAGACAACCACAGGACTGCCCTCAGAGTTCAAGTTAATCCAGCAGTGGACACAGACGATGGCAATTCCGTGTGATGAGGGCTTTGAAGGGGGAAATGCACAAAGTTTGGAGAGCATGGAGGAAAGTCACCTAAGCTGGATTTGCGGCATCAAAAAACATTTTCTAGAAGAAGTGACATCTGCGTCCGGGACCTGAGGAACGCAGAGGAATTACCTAAGCAAACAGGGATCAGCTGTCCAGGCAAATGAAACAGCACGTATGAAAAGCCCAGAGAACACAGAGGAGCGATCACTGAGGAGTTAGAGTTGCGTACTACAGCAAGGAGTGGAGCGTGGCTGGACATGGGCTCAACGGGAAAGAGCACAGGCCGGGCCTGAGGCCACCTTCAAGAGCACCACCAGCCTAAGGGCAACGGCGAGCCACTGAGACATTTATACGGGAAATACACATGCAGATTTGACTTTTACTATTATTAAGATTTTATTTGAGAGAGAGAGAGAGAAAGAGAAAGAGAGAGGCAGAGAATGTGAGCCAAGGGAGGGGCAGAGGAGGAGGGAGAGGGAAGGAGAGAGAACCCCACGCAGACTCCACACTGAGTGTGAAGCCCGATGCCAGAGATCATGACTAGGGCTGAAATCAAGAGTTGGCCACTTAACTGACTGAGCCTCCCAGGCACCCCCAGATCTGACTAAAAGTCAGATCACTCAAGCCACTGCCACTGGGTAGAGAGGAGGGACAGGACTAAAAGTGGAGAGAAGAGTGAAGAATAGTGGAGAAGACGTGGCAGGAGTCCTGGAGATGACAGCGGCTGATAGCTGGAATGGAGAGAAGTGAGTGGGTCTGGGTGAGGTATAGAAAGTTGGCCTCAGTAGTAATTTGGTAACCGATGGACAGTAAGGGGGAGAGGGCGCCATTTCTGAACTCCCTTCTACTTTTAGTCTGTGGACATGTTTCATGGTCAAAGCTCCTTGGCGGGAAATAAGATGGAAGGATTAAAAATAATATTTAGTTTTCTCATTTAAAAACAAGCAGATGGAGAGTAGAACTGTCCACTGTCAGAGAGGATGGAGGAGGTTAAGCAGGATTGGAGGCAGGGTGGGGGGGGGGGGGCAGGATGGGGAGAGGAGTTCAATTTTGGATATCCTAGTTTTGAGATGTCTGTGGATCATCTAACAAGAGGAAATGTCTGGTAGGGAGTTAGAGGTGAGTGGTCTGAAACCCCAAGAGAGATGTCTGAGTCATATTCTCTCCATCCCAGCAAGGGTGCGGAGTGAGGAGAGAGCAGACTTTGGAGATCGCTCTGAGGGGTGTCAACATTTAAAGCACAGACCGCAGGTGGAGGACTGTAGGGGAGGCCGTAGGGCTGGAGAGAGGACAGCAAGTAAAAGAGACAAACATGGAAACCAAGAGCATTTGAGGAGGAAGTAATCAACGGTGTAAAAATATGCTAAGGTTCATGTAAGGCAATGATTGTGATGTCCACTGGCTCTAAGCCACAAACAGGTCACTGCTGTACTCAGGGGCCCATGGACAGGGTGGGTGGGATTGAAGATGAACAGCAGATACGAGGCAGGAAAGCAGACACAGCGGAGTGTAGTCAGTGACATGGGGTTGAAGGGAAGAAGGACAACGGTGGGGTAGGACGCTGGGTTCTAGGAATATTTCTCGTTCTTTTTTGTTTTTTTGAGATAGGAGGGAGGAGTCTGTATTACACGTTCTTGTGCTCAAGTCAACGGAAAGGGGCAAGGCTCGATATGGAAACAAGGCTAGGCAATAAGAACTGGCCCCAATCAGGAGAAACCTCGCACCCTTGCTTTCCAGCTGAGTGCAAACCTAACTGACTGAAGAGGTTTTAGCAGATGGAAGATGAAAGAGTTCTGATGACTTTATCTTTTCTGTGCAGTGAAAATCAAAGGTACCTGCTAAGGGGGAGGAGTTGAGAGCAAAGCCAGTGGGGAGTATCTGCAGAGAGGGGACAGACTTCATAAGAGCCACTGCAGAGGCCAGCAGAGGAAGTGGACCAGAGGAAAAGAAGACCTGCCAGACAGAGACAGGGCTGCTGAGACAAGGGGAGGAGGTCATGACTTTGTGCAGACATCTTTGTACAGGTGTAATTTTCAATGGTCCCCTTCTTTGCACCCCGCTTTATAGAGAAGAGACAAGGGGACTGAAATTACTTCAAGGAACTTGGAATCTAATCTGAAAAATCGGGACACCAACACAGAAAATGGAGAAGGGTCAAGTCTTGAGTTATCTAGCCACCATCACCTGTGGTCATGGATAATCAAGAACTGGGAAACCAAGGAGCTGGGTTTCATTCCATTGAATAGCT